ATATATATATGAGGAGGGATTCACTTACTCCAAGAGTAAGTCTACCTAGACTTACTCCACTCAATAACTCATGTTTTACATCAAATTTTAATAATCCAACCATTGAATTAAAAGTTCTTTATACATTGATCAAGTTTACAAATTTAAAAAAAAAATTAAAAACCATATGATACTTTATTATATAGATTCAAATCAATGTATAAAATACTTTTATGATTATCTATCAATTTGAATTAATGAATATAGAGTATCAAATGTTTTTCAAAATTTTTAAATATTTGCATACTTGATTTACATGATTCTAAAGAGTTGTGCGAAAAGAAAAAAAGAAGTATAAATAACATGGGCTTTGGGAAATGGGCCTTTGGGCTTGGGTCAGTCTAAGTTGAAAAGAAAAAATTAAACCATTTCCATATCTGTGTACGTCATCCACTATATATACACAAAATATCGAAGATCGAAAAATCCAAAAACGGTCCCAATCGGTGGAGTGGGCACTTATTTTCATCCCCAACAATAGCAGTGTCGTTTCCCGGTTCCCGCCCAGTTCCATTTTGCTTGCTCGAACTCCGCCATGGGAAATTCGTCCAAGGACGATTCCGCCACCTCCGGCGACGCCTCCGCCGGCGACGTTCAGCCCTCCAATTCCGCCGTCTACTCCGATGGCGAGAAAGTCCTCGCCTACCACGGCCCTCGCATCTACGAAGCCAAGGCATCTTTCTCCTCTCCCCTTCCCTTCCTTTCGAATTTTCTCTTTCCACGTTTTCTTCTCTTCATTTGCCGCTTCCTTCTTGTTTTCTCCTTTGGAATTTTATAATTACCGTGTCCGAAATAAACGGAACCTTATAGTTGCTAACTGGTTAGTAACCGTTCCGCGCTGGGGTTTTCTGTGTTAGGGTTTTCGCTAGTGTTTTTGTTTGTTAAATTAGTTAATTCTCCTTGCTTTGACTGAATTGTGACTTAACACTTGACAGTTTGTCACTTAGTCTTGCTAAGGATGAACTTTGCAAGGTCTTTTGCGGTTTCTCATCGTTTGCCCTATTTTCTCTTGTTTACTTAGATCTATGAATATTTTTTTGATGATTTTATTGCATGGTCATACACTTACTCTAACGTGTGATTGATTTCATGTTTGCTTCTGGGTTTGTTGTATTCCCTTTTCCTATCGTTATAAAATATGGGATTGCTGCAAGTTGATGAATTGATAGTATTTTTGGGGTTATTTCAATTATTATTATTATTATTTTTTTTCTGTTACGTTTACCACATGGAAGGCTTAGTAGTAAAAAATAATTAATTCGCTATCTAGACAGAGTGCATTTTTGTACTGTTTTTCCCCTTGTCTTCTTGTGGTTTTGATCTGATTTACTTCATGCTTTGATCGTCAATAATAATAATTAATCACTATCTAGATAGAGCGCAGTTTATACCAACCGCCCCCCGCCCCCCGCGCCCGGTGATTGTGATCTAATTTGATGATTGTTTTGATTGTCAGGTGCAAAAGGCAGAGATCAGAAAGAGTGAATGGAAATACTTTGTTCACTACCTTGTAAGTTTCAACCATAACATATCATTCCTCATAGACCTAATTTACTGCATTCTATCACGACATGGCCTTTTCTATTGGTTGCCTCCTCATCTCTGGAATGCTCCTTGATTTTCCTTTTCAAATTAATTAATGTTTTAGCTTGAAAGATTGGAAATTTTTGAATCACTTAAAATAAAATGTTAAACATTTGAAACTTTCAAGTGATTTTGGGATATGCTATTGACTTTTGGTTGTTTCATTTAATATTCTGCAGGGCTGGAGTAAAAAGTGAGTTTCTTATCTTTCCTTTGTTTCATTTCAAGTAACAGATGTACAAATTGCTATGTCTGAACGACGATGTGTCACTCCCTGTTTACAATGTGTTCTGGAATATTATATTTGTTCTTGTGTTACATGTTGAGACCCATAAATGCTTAAAAAAAAAATCAACTGAGAAGCAGAGTTAATACGTGGAAATTTTCCAAAGTGAAGCTCATTTTAGGCAATGAAAGTGGTGCATGTTGGAACTTTTTTGACAATTTCTTTAAAAGGAATTTGTAATAATTGATCTGTAGATTCTAGAGTGAATAATCTTCATATTTTTGCCATATTTTTGCTATAAATGATTATTATTACATGCAAAAGGTTTACAAAGATTTTCAACGGTTCAACATATTTCCAACAGTTGGGATGAATGGGTAGGTGAGGACCGTTTAATGAAACACACTGAAGAGAATGTCATGAAACAATTGGCCCTAGACAAAAAGCAAAATGTAGACAAGAATGTTAAATCTGGGCGTGGAACTCAAGCAAAGGCCAAGAGTTCTACAGGTAAGCAATGCTTTCTTTCAAATGATGATAATGTATTGTGACAGCTTCTTGAAGCTTTTGCTTATTTAGTTTGTGCATAATAAACCTCTTTTGACAAGGGGGTCTGAAGTCCCCCAGTTCATGATTGAAAATATAAGGTTCTCTTTTTATTACTCTAGAATATTTGGATTATGTATTTGATTGATTGTTCAGCCTTTTTTCCTGAAGGCTCTTTTGCTTTTAACTGATATATATTATATAAGTTGCAGATGTGGACACATAGGCTCTCTCTCTCTTTCTTTCTTTCTCTCTCTCTCTCTCTCTCTCTCTCTCTTGCCAAGTTTACTTATTTATTTTATTTATTTTTATTTTAAAATTTTATGTTCTCAATGAGTTATTAGTAATGACTGATGGGGTTCTCAAAGTGCCTTCATCAACTGAGCACTGACACAAATTTTGGTCGATATTTTATTTTGCACATAGTTGATTTTTATTAGTAAATGGACATCTGGACTGATTAAATGAAAAAGTAGTACAAGATAAAAATCTATACTTATCTGGTGCTTGGATGCAAAGTAGACTATTAACAATATAGTATATTTTGATAAATGATATCATTAAAATGGAAGTTTGATTTCTGTTAACACTACTTTTGGGAAAAAACGTGAGTGCTAATTTTGACTAAAATTAACTCTGGACCTTCCATATAAGCACTAATTTTTTTTTTATAACATCCTTTTGAAATTGTTGCAGGATATGCAACCTTATTTTGTAAGTTTTTCTATTGAAAACAGTTTTCCCCTGTTTTAAACACTTGACTATATGTATGCACAGTTGTGCAGGGACCAAATCCTAATAGGAAAGATTATACACTTTGAATACTTCTTTTTGTTAGCTTGATAATGTTACATTGGATTCTGCAGATGCCAAAATGGATAAAGAGGATGTCAAGAGTAATGGTATTTATTATTTTATCTTAAACTTTCCTTTTTGCATATTTATCTATATCTATGTTGATATAGTCATGTAGATACAGATATAAACCTTTTTCTTTATAATCACTAGGTTTGAGTTTGTCTTAAATATTCAGATATCATCATATTCCACATATAAGAATTGTTTAAAGAAGTAAATTTAAAGCATTTTGGGTAATAACAGAGTCTTTAAAGGTTTCTGGTTTTTCTCTTTTGTGGATTTAATATCCTGTTGAAAAGGTATTGCTGCTTAGTATATACTGCTTGATAGTTAAATTAGGATATATCCCTGATAACAGTCAATAATCTGTATTTAATATGAGGGCTATGTCAGTTTGTTAAGTAGATATATTTTTCAGATTAAGAAAACCTTTTATATTGTTTGGAATCATTATTTCTTGCCCAATTCCTTATCTAAAGCATCACTTATCATTAGTTGTTGCTTTTTAACAATTATTGGTAAATTTTTGTTTACAATGTGCTTTGACAAATAACTTAACTTCAATAATTGTGATTGCAACTATACTTGATGCAGTTAGATTGAGGTCAAGACATTAATGAAAGCCAGAGATGTACATCTGAATCTCCTAAAGTTTTTATCTAATCTACTATAATAAACCCCCTTGTTGATTAGATCTTTTTTTATAATATATATATATATATATATATA